AGTACCCATCTACCACTACCAACTGCTATAGTACCCATCTACCACTACCAACTGCTCTGAAAGGGATCACAGTAGAAAATCTTGGCTAGAGAAAAAATTGGGGGAAAAATTCATAATCATAAGAGATAAGATTTACCAGTTTGATAGAGAATAGTCAAAGCCCCAAGAAAATTGCTCTTAGTCACCCTCCAGTCCTTGACCTGAACTTACCTCAATGGCTTAATATTTGAGCAAACAATGAATAGGTATATAAAGTCAATAGTAACACTGGGGAAGTATGCACTCCTTAGAATAATCAACCATTTAAAATCAAGGGAGCAGCTTTTGCCCAGGACACATTTCAAAATGAAGGAGTGGACAGGAAAGAGGAATAGAAACAAGAAACACAGAAAATGCTAAACAGATTTTCTCTGGAAGCATCCACCCAATTTACAATAAGAAGTTAGGAAAAACAAACAAACAAAAATCCTAAATGGCAGTACTACCCTTTTACATAGGATTTCTGTAAGTAGGAATCAACTCAAAAGCACCTAACAAAAACTCTATATACACATGAATTAGGCTAATAACCAGAAAGTTAGTGTTTAGAGGTTCAAATCCCCCCAGAAGCACCTTGGAAGACAACCTGAAGATCTATTTCTGAAAAACCAGTTAATGAAAACCCTATGAAGTATAATTCCACTCTGAGACACATGGGGTTGCCATGATTTGGAATTGACTCAGTGACAACATTTTTTGTTGTTAATCTATTATATATATAATATAATATATTATTATAATTGATATTATATTTACTTAAATTTATTTTTAATTTAATGTTTTATATATTATAAATATAATATATTTAATACATATATATTTAAACTACCAAAATGTTGTCATGGTTGTTTAAAAATCAGAAACTTTTATTTTGGAGACTGGTGCTAACTATTCCCTTTTATTAACCCTAATTGTTTCAACTGTCTGAGAGCTGAAATCTGAAGCTTTTAGGATTTTCAAAGAGCAAAGATGTTTAGCGGTATTTCTGAAGGCTAGGCTTAAAAGTTCCACAAATGATCATACTAACTTGCTGGAAAGTGAAGTTTGGCCTGTGATAGTTGGATGATTTTAGGTCAACTAGACACACCTAGCTGGGGGGAGAACCAAACCTGTCCATCAAGTGGTAGCTTGATGACACTTCCCTGGGAGTATGGCCTTTTGTGGGTGAGCCTGGAACTTAGGTACCCACTTTTCTCTCTTGAGACGTCACCTTCTTGCCTGCTGGAACTCTGCCTGTCTCCATGGGCTGCCATTCCTGAGAGCTATGGACACCTAGCCTTGTTTCCACTGACTTTGGGTCTAAATGACTCTGTACCTACCAGCCTGTGATATTTCTGGTCCCCGGTGGGTTTGTGAATCTGCAGAGGACTTTTGGACTAGCATCAGACTTATGGACTTGAGTTGAACTGGGCTGGGTGCCTTCTTAAGCTATACTTCCTTCTTAATATAAAGCTCGTTCTTATACATAGATGAGTGTCACAGGATTTGTTTCTCTTGACACCCAGGCCTAACATAGGGTTCAAGTATTGAATGGGTGCTGTAACATAAATGGATCACCATGATTTTGGATTATAAGGTGTTTCTCGCAAATATGTGTTGGAATCTTAACCCCTTTACCTATTGATATAGTGTGGTTTAGAAACAGGATTTGGGCTCTGTTCAGTAGATCATAACTGAAGAGGGTATATTCTCAATTGAATCACTTCTGAATTATGCTGAGAAGAAACTGAACACAAGTATGCCCAACAGGAGGAAGACGGATGCCAGGGGGAGATCATTGTCCAGCTAAGGAACCAAGGGATCAAAAGAATGCCTGGGAGACTGACAATTGCCAACCACATGAATATACAAGAGGGCTTCAAAAAGTTTGTAAGAAAATGCATTGACAAGGTAATGGAATTTTCCACACACTTTTCACATGGCCAAGACCTGGATTTGGACTATGTACATTTAGTTTTTGAAATCAGATTTTCATATGGCACCCTATATTTTCATCAAAAAGCCCAGGTAATTATCATCCCCCAAATGGCCTATTTTTATCTTCTACCTAATACATATCAGTATATATATACATTTACATATTATTTACATGTTCCCAAACATTTTCTTTTCAAAAATTTTTCCTCCTGTTTTTCTCCCAGTGATCCCCACTTGATTCATCAGAATGCAGTCACAAGAGTTTGAAAGGCAAGGGCTTGTGTCAGAAAATTGGCCTTAAAATAGTTAAACATACATGTTTGCCATTTGCTTGGATGATTTGTCCTTTAAGATAGAGACTGAGCCTATAAAAATAATTGGAGTGGGATCTGAACATGGCAAAATGTGTTTTCTTTTCTTAGACGAATCTGCTAGGCTGTGTGTGCTATAAAATGGCACTATCCCTCCTTTCGGAACTGCACTTCCTACACAACAGACGCCTCTCTGCCTACTCGTCAGAGACTTTCCCAAGTAGATGAAGTTAACTCTTCTTCCTGCTTTTGCATGCAAATTCAGTATGAAATCATTAATTTAGACCCCAGTTGTGGGTCATCTGAAAAGGGTTCCAAGATTCTTTATTTTAAAACCCATTTTGCAATTAGCCAACACAAAATGTTACTACAGATAACTTTCAAATTGGGTTTCTCAGAGCAAACTGTTAAACAGAAGAGAAAAACAGAAGTCACAAGGACTGAAGAAGGAAAAACAACAATGGAACTGTATATTTAATAAAATCCAGGGTGGATGCATGTAGAAGCAGAGAGAGAGAGAGAGAGCAATCAAACTTGCCCTAAAGTCAATTCCAACTCAGGGGGACCTCATAAGACAGAAGACAATCTTCCCAGGAGCAGAAAATCCCATTCTTCTCCTGGTGGTTCAAGCTGCTGACCTTAAGGTTATCCGCTCAGGTTGTAACCCAGGAGGCCACCGGGACTCCTACTATGCATGCACAGAGAGAGACAAGCAGATGCGTCCTAGGTTAAGCACATACATAGACTTACCAGGTTAATTAATGTCAGGTACTTCCACTGTCCACCATGTTGGAAGATTTGGGCAGCCCGTGGATTCATTTTTAATTGGGAAATGCAATAATTGAGGAATATATACCAGTTCAGAACAAGGAAGTGGTATATGCAGACAGGAGCCCTTGCCATGGCTAGCTCTGAGCAGGGAGCTGTAAAAGTTCCTGGTTACTGCTCACGCTCAAAGGTCTCAGCTGAAGTTCTCCAAGCCAGGTAGTTGTTAAACCAACTCCTCGGGGTCATACTGCCAGGCCTGGGAATTATAACACAAGCTGAATTGTGCTCCTTTCACAGGCTCCCTTTTTCTGATAAATTTAGGAGGTAAGACTGTTGTCGGTTTATTTATACTGGCAGATAATCATCAGATTAGCACACATTTCAACATGGAGGCTTTTACTATGGCAGGGAGCCTGGCATGAGCTGCACTTTGCACCATTTGACTAGGGTGGGGCATGATTACAAGATCTTGTTTACCAATTGCCAACCGCATCTAATGAAATATCATCTTAGCAATATTCTCTCCCCACCCCCTTCTTTTCATTGGGGCAGAAAAGAAAGCTGTAATAGTATATCTTGAGAGAATGAGGAGCAAGCTGATAAGCCAGGTGGGGGAGATCATTGGTGTGTTCAAGAGGTAAAGCGATGTGAATAGAAAGAATAAGAGTACTGTAATCTTGCTTCTGAGGTCCCCAAGCCCTATAACAATTGTAAATGACATTTGGTCCTATCCAGGGAGCAGATCCATAGGTGTTTTTGTTTTAATTTTTTTCTGTAGACTTTGGAGACAGAAGTTTCATGCAGGGTTATTTAGACACTCATGGGCATAGATGTTTCTTTCTCCAGTTAGGAGGTAAGGAAGAATCATAAGAGGTCTACCACCATGACCCCAACCTGCCTGAGTTTAGATATTGCTGGGGGACTAGCCTCGACTTGGAGAAGACCAGAATTGCCCAGGCTGTGGGGAGTATGCAGGACGGGGCTCTGCCTCAAGCTCGACAGACGGCAACTGGGGGAGTTAGAAGTGTGACACCTGTGACATCACCAGCTTGGTTCCCTGGGCAACTAACTCAGAAGGTTCTGAGCAAATCCTTAAGAGAAATGCTCCCCAAATGGAGGTTTGCAATGCTTTAAGTTAGTATTGTTTGAGTACTTGTATGGGGGCTAGAAATACTGAAAGAAAGACCTTCAGACTATACATAGAGGGAAAAGCAAAAACAAACCCACTTCTCAAGTCAACAGACCCCAAACATAAGCAACCGAAAATAGGAGGAAGATAAAAATCCTAGCCAGCAATAAAAGCCTGCATTTTCAACATTCTCAAAAAGAATGAAGATCCAGGAAATGGGTGACATAAAATACAGCACAAACTTTCATGGCCTAGGTTAATGTGGCAAATAATCATAGAAGCTAATATTTCTACAGTGCTTACTATGCCCCAGCCATTGTTCCAAGTGAATTGAATTCTAATGGTAGATAGCCAGAATTGTTACCCAATTTGGACAACATTATCAGTGTCACTGAATTGTACTTGCTGAAATGATCAAACAGCTGTATGGTTGAATTCTCTCAGGAAAGAATAATATAAGTTTTGAAACTTGGTGTGTATTTGAGTTACTGTGCAATGTCTCTCAGGGTGGTGTGGGGAAGTTCTTTCTATTTATTTAAACTTTTGTATTGTGATTTCAACAAGAATTTGCATGGCAAATGGACTCTCCATTGAACAATTCACACACATTTTGTTTCATGACATTGCCTGCAGCCCTCTCAGCATGACAACGCTCTTCCCACTTCCTTCTTCCGTTTCCATTTTCATGTGTCCCTCTTTCCTCCCTTCAGAGTATTATTCATGTACTAATGCGGCCCTTTTGGTCTCATAGTTGAGAGGTCTAAGGAGTATGTAGTTACCTGGTGTTAATGTTCACCATGGAGGCTGTATGTTTGGGTGAAAGTTGAGCGAGGGGGATGAGTTCATTTCCAGGCTTGTAGTGTGTCTACGCCCCCTAGCAGGTTTCACCAGTGTTTATAAGATCAGTAAGCCTGAAAAAAAAAACAAAAAAACAGTAAGCCTGATCTTTATTAACATTTTGAGTTTTGTTTCAATTTGCCCCGCCCCCTACACTCTCTCTCTCTCTCTAATCAGTATCTCCGATGGTGATCCCTTTCCCAGTGGTCAACAATGGCACCTGGGCACCATCTAGTTATTCTGGTCACAGGGCCTCACTCTATCTAGAACCTTCCCATAAAATCCCTGTCAGAGCAGTTGTAGTGGTAACTGGAAACCATTTAGATCTTCTGGTCTCAGGATTATGGAGGCTGGAGCGGAGTGGTTCATTAGTCCTTTGGACTAATTGTTATGGGAACATTATCTTTTATTGTCTTCGGTCTTCTTTGCTCCAGATGAGAAACACTAATAATTACACTGTAGATAGTCACTCACAAGCTTTTAGGATCCCAGTAGCTACTCAGCAACATAGGTTGTAGAACATTGGCATTGCCTTTGTGGACTTTGTTATGCCACTTGACCTTGTTGTTCCCCTAAGAATATGGTCCTAAACCAGTGATCAGTGAATCATTCCCTCAAAGTGTCTGCAGCCCTCACAACATGACAGCTACAACATTTGTAGCACATTCAAACATACATGGAAAAGTACTGTCTGCCAAATCAAGACATGTCATGGATATACTCCCTTTTACTTACTTATATTGGTTTATCATCCCTATCTGTCTATCTATCCGCTTACAGATTAGCATATGTTATTACTGATAATTTAGGCCTCTTTATGTAATAGCATTTACCTTTTTTTCTGTAACTTT